GATCTTAAGCAAACTTTAAAATGGGATCGTTGGTTTACAAATTCTGGCTTCTTGTAATGCACTAACCCACAATCCCAGCTTAGATGCAATGCCTAAATATGCATGTCTTACCTGATTAGCCATTCAACAAACAGGAGCAACCAAGTTCATGCACTGAGTCACACAACTCATGCACATTATAGTTTTAAAAGCTCGAATTTATAAATGTGACTACTGCAATGTCTACCCATGCTTTGGGTATGTGTAGGATTGGTCCAACCCCTGCCCAGCAATGAAACCTATTCTTACACATGTGGAATTTACTGAAGTGTGTAAATAATTTTGAGAAGTCAGGCATAGGTTAATGCTTGTAAACTTTGCAAAATCTACTACGAAGGTTACTGCAAAGTATATTTTTCAAACACTGCGAAATATATAAAATGAATTAATATTCTTTAAATCTTTGTTTATACTACTATTTCAGATGCCTCCCGGATTTCTTCCCTTATAAGGTCTCATCGCACCCTGGAAAGAATTTTCGTTGTTTAAAATAAACTTATTTCAATATACTTCACAGACTTTTAAAGCAAGCAAAACAATCTAAATATATCAAAATGTTTAACTGGACAGATTCTCTAAAAGGAGAAGATCACAGGCTGCATATCTTCCGTCTCCCATGAAGCATGTTGTATCACAACAGGAAATTCATTTTAATGTCTATCAAAAATAGTTAATGGCTAGTAATATGGCAATGCTTGTACAAGTACATAAAACCTATTGATATTTTTAAGATTCTTATGCAAACAAATTAATATGAAGTTCAAAAGCAATAAAAATATGAACACAATACAGAGTATTTTTAAAACACAGAAAAGCAGCAGATAAAAAGTTGTAAGGCTGGACACCTTGTGGGCCTCCAGATGTTTTAGCCACCCATGATGCATCCTCACTGGATATCCTGGCTGAGATAGGATATGTAAGCCAAAACATGTGAAAGATCACGAGTTACCCTCCCCTGAACTCAGAGTTGGACATGTTATCCAAGGGCCCTGACTCATAACTATGGGCTGCAGTATTTTAAGCTGCACCCACAGGTCAACAGTGTTTGCTCATAGTTTTAGTGCATATCATATATTCTGTCACCTTGACCCAAGGATCCACAGATGCAACAGAAAATTCTATATGCTATATAATTTTGCACTTGCAGTAACAGTAGCTGCATCTCAGAAATTTACACACAGGATTATAAGTGGAAAGTGCATGAGGATCACCTTGCAGCATTGAGGCAATCAGAGCTAAGAGAGAGAGAGTGTGTGTGTGTGTGTGTGTGACCACACCTAATACTAAGTCACTCTTTTCCTGCCTGTCATTTAATACTATACATTTAATACATATCTATCCACTAGCAATGAACAAATACAATTTATGAACTGGATATAATGCTAGGACATACAGCATTCCTACTGTTTGGTAGAGAGAGCGTTCCTTTCCATACCTAAGTAAAGAATAACTATTCTTTATAGTTATAGTGGATATTTAACTTCAGCACTGAAAGGAAGGGTGCAAAATATTTTTTCAGTCCATTTTGTTCCAGCTGGCTGAAGTTCAATGTTTTTCTTTCATTCCTATCAGAGGAAGTACAGGCAAAGGTCACTTAGACTATCACAGCTTTATCTATTGATTACTGTATTGGCTTCATCCTGAAGAAGATCCTTCCAGCTGTAAGAATGCCAGAGATTCAAAAGTAGCTCCTGTGAGATATGGCTTGCAGAACTATTTGATAACCAGAAGAATTCTTGCTCCTTGCAATTTAATGCAACCAAAACAGAACGAAGCTATATAAAAGGGAGAGGATTTCTTTTCTCTTAACTTAATACATTCACATACATATTATCAGTCAGGATACAAGGAAAAAATTGCTGTATGGGGAAGAAACCAAATGCAATTATTTGTATGCAATTTTTGCCTTCTAAATTATTATACAGTATAACTTACCACTACAACGGTCTAGGATGAGGACTCAGACAGTACGTCAAGTCCAGCTCTTGACCCCAAGTACAATCATCCACTTTTTAATTAACCTACTTTCAAGTATGCAGAATCATCCAGGATGATTAAACAAACCAGAACTGTCTATGGCACAATTCTACCTGAACATGTAGTCCTTGTCATACATATATTCACTCATGTGGTTAACAAGGTGGTGGCGGCGGCCATCTACCATCCACATCAGTAGAGTGGAACCTGGTGGACAAGAATAAGTCCCTCTCTGCAGCTAGAAGAGATCTACATGTGAAGGAAGACTGTTTCCAGAGCCTCTCTGTTTGCAGAAACCGCTGTGGTCATTTCTCTCAGTTGACAGCATTCTGGCAATGGGGACGGAAAGGGGGCATATTGGAGACAGATTGAAGACATAGTTCCCAAGATCCTAAGCCCTCCCATTACCCTGAATTTCCCCATGCCTGACCGAAAAAGTCACATTACCACTGGAGCTAGCTTAGTTAATTTCCCTTCCCAATTGTTCTGCCTAGTCTGATTTATACAGTACAAGAACTTGTGAATTCCCTTATCAGGTAAGGGATAGGCCATTACTTAATAGCATGGTAAGATTAGATGTGAACTAGCAGGTGGGCATATGTATTTAAACATGACTGAGTATGCAAGGAAAGCTAACATGCATAAGGACTTGCTTGTGCATCTGTCCTATACTAACCGTGGTGTAGATGTTGATAATAAAAAAACTGAAAGGATATCTTCTCAGCCCTTTCCCATGAAATAATTTCACATTCTGGTGCAGCTTTACATTCAGCCACAAAATCCCACAGAGAATTTAAAAAAGTGCATGTGAAGCATCTTTTACAATGAATGTGAAACATCCCAACCATTATATAAATACCAAGAATTATCATACATATTCAAATTACTGAACATATTAGAAGTGCTACTCTATAAGCCATTACTAACAAGCTGATAATTCTAGCCTCCCTGTGATCTCTCGCTACAGAGAATGAATTGAATGTTTTGGTTGTTCATCTCAGTACTATAGCATTTCTTTTCTTACATTAACCTATATCAAAATTGTACAGTAGTTTGTTTATCCAAAGCAGTGATAAAATAATGTGCATATGGACAACATCTACTAGCAACTCTGCATGTAAATGAAAACAACATTCAGAAAGGATCACAAATATTTGCATATAGCATCATACCATCATATTCACACTCCAGTTACATTCATTTATGCAGCTTCTGAAACCAATGCTATACAGATTATCACCTAGAACCAACTTCAGTATCACCTCATCAATTACAGTCACAGGCTTCAGATCCATTAAGGAGCTTGTGATAAATGTGTAAGTTTTCATTCCACACAATCCCAGCTGTCAACTATTCAAATCTGGTACTTAGGATCCCATACTGTGCCTTGGGAACCAATTAGTGCTAGGTCCAAAGAATGTACAATGTTGTTACTGCAGTTTGAGAATATATACTGAATTAACCCCACTTTATATTGAACCAAAAGACCTGCCTTGCACATGCTTGGCAAGCATAATGCCCCAGACTCAACACTTGTCAACTCTAGATAGGTTAGGAAGCCTAGCCTGAATCTCAGTGTAGACTAGCTATCTTCTACTGCTGAACAAATGCATCTACTATCATCCCCAGCTAGCAAGCCATGTGGAAGGTCTGTGTTCCTGAGTGGCCCTTTAGCTCATTAAATTGAACAACTGATAAACACCCCCCTTTTCAATATGGTTAATTTTACAGAATTTTACAAAATTGTTGACCAGCAGTATGAGTTAGCCTGGACTACATGTTTTAGATATACAAAAAAAGTCCTTACACAAATACATAAAAATCAGAGAGGGATTTACACATATTGTTCCCTTCCCCACTGCTCAACACACATTATTAGTATCCTATGGAAGTAAATGTAAGTAAAACACTGCTATTTTAAGAGGAATAATCCCATAAATATGTAAGTTTGCTGCAAACAAAACAAACACAGGCCCCCTCTTGTGCCTTTGAAAACACTCTTTGATACAATGAAGCTTTCCCAATACTTCTCTCCATGCTAGAAAAAAACTTTACTTACTAGATTTCTAATGATATAGACATGGCATGCAATTAAGTTCCACCAAGGAAATGATCGTCCTCCACAATGTCTGTTCATGCTATCCAGATGCTTACTTCTATACCCCATGCAAATCAGTTCACTGAATGTTACAGGGCTAGATTATACCAGTTGGCCCAATAGTGCAATTCACATGTAATGGTAAAAGATTTCCTCATATTGAACAGCCTTGAAATTCACCTCACAAGGCACTACACATGCAATCTGCTCACATTCTCTCTTGACTCAGGCATCTGTTTAGCAGGAGGAGGACGGACAATCTATGAGACCTCGCGCTGCTGTTAAATTTTAATGTGTGAGGCTGTTCTTAAAGATGCAGTAGTCCTGCTTTTAAAAAAGCAGGAGGGAGGAAAATCCTGGACAGTAGAATTGAAGAACAGGCTATTGTCACAAATGGAAACCCTGTGACAAGGAGAACGAAAGATGTGTAACTGTCATCGCATGGTTAACAGGGATTTAAGTACTGGAAGTGGGCTATAGAACTAAGGGTTTTCCTACCCGCGTCTTTTAAATGAGTTGTCCCCACTCCTATTTGTGCACCCACCCTGAGTTAAATGTGTATTTAGAGAACAGAAATGTATATATAAATGCAGGTGGGAAAGGGAGGAGTTCAAAGAAGACATGCATAAACTCATATTCCATACCAGAACCCGAGGCACTAGACAATGGTATACCTGCACCAAGTCAAAATTCAGTTCAACTTGTAGGTAGTGACCCTTTGAGCACCAACTGTGGTATCAATACTACAAGTAAACATGCTTGTGAATAAGCATACATTCAAGTTGTAAGTATTCTGAAATATAAACAATAACATATACAGAAATAAATTAAAATATGCATCCATATTTTGATATTGTTAATGCCACTGTATGCAATGTGATCTTACCACTGTCTTCAACTGAAAAATAGAAGATATCACTAGTAGCATTTTCACCTTCCTTCAGGACATAACAGATCTTCAAGTCATCAATATCAGCTGACAGGAGAAGAAAAAAACTACATGAATCACTGAATTACTGCAGTGCTGACATCAAAGCATTTCAGTGAGATTTGAACTTTGAAGCTACAATCCTAGGGAGTAATTCCTACCAAAATCAAGGGGATTTTGTTCTGAGTAGATATGTACACTGTTATTTTAAAGTTGTTTGTTTTTAGAATATCCTTACAATTTACCAATGCTCTTTGCAGTTTTTTACTATTTACTATGGATATTTAACACAAACATCCTCAGAGTAATATACAAATCAAAATGATAACAAAGTTAAAAAACAAAACTAGAATGGAAACTCAACACAGTCTGGGTAACTAGAATCTCATCTCATCAGTGTTGTATTATGCTCTTCAGCTGTTTGCAATTTACAAAGGCTGCATAAGCTAATATAAAGAGTAAATTTGATCTTAAAATGAAAGTGCACTATTCTGTCTTTCAAACTGAGTTAGGAAACAATTCAAATGTACTTGCTGGGTGGTAAACCTCACTGAACTCAATGACACAGACATGCAGTGAACTGCAAATAGTATTATGTAGGTTTTATCTATGGTAAATTCCACTACAATCAAATTTACTCCCAAGTAAGTCTGCATAATCTTAATTTACAATTCAAGGTGTCAGACCACACAAAACTAAGGCCTGGGAAAGAAAAAAAAAGCCTAATTTATAATTACCTGGATTTTAGGGCTGGCACAGCATCTTCAGAACAAGGCCAGGATCCAAAAAGCCACTTTAGACTTGCCCAGTTAGATTTCCCCACACCCCCTTTTCTAAACACCAGACAACCATGTTATATTGCATGGCATTAGAAAATGTCGTCAGGGGAAATGTCAGCACATACTTCTCTTTGGGCACTGAACTAGCTGCATGCTTCTTTGGGTACCAGCCATTTCCTTTTATTGTTCACAATCTCTTTAAGTATCCAAAGAGGACACACAAGGCCTCTATAGCTGGTTGGATGTAGTGTATATGGCTGTACAATAAGCATGTGCCTCGTATTAGTACAAGAAGCTAACAAATCAGAAACAACATTTCAATTACAAATTTCATTTTCAGGAAGCACTTCTCATCTTTAAAGCAACCCTGTAAGATGGACCAGTTATCATCCCCAGATTGAAGACTGAAGCTAAGAGAATAGCAGTCCTGGACAAATCTAGGACTAATGCAAATAATGTCCATACTCCCAATTAATTAATTGGGAAGGGGTCTACATTCTCCCTCTCTATGTCGATTTTAACTATGAGTAAGACTTACATCTGCACTTGCCTCAGCCATGGTTAGTGCTTACCAGACTTCATTGGCGCTATAGATTTGAAAAGACAGTTGGAAGTTGATCTCAAGTATCTAGTCAAAATGAAATTCCAGGTGGTGTAAAGCAGCATCTTCAAAACTGGTTTCCCCCACCCCAATTTCTATCAGCCCTGGTCAGAATGGCCCATAGTCAGGAATCCTGGGAGTTGTAGTCCAAAATATCTGGAAAAGGCTGGTGAACACAATCCTGTTATTTAGATGACATTAGTTCACAGCTCCTTTTCCTTGCCACTGCCTCAGCTTTCTAAATAGAAGTACATGGGAAAATGTTTTTACCAGATCATGCTATTTCTCAAACTAGTAGTTTTGCCTATTTGGACAGGCAAAGTTCTTCAGGGTCTCTGGCAAAGGTCTTGTTGTGTCTTCTCTCAGATGGAAGTGAAAATACCTCTTTTCAGATGTTCATGATCAGTATCAACTCATCATGCAAACAAGAAAGCAGGGCTGCTCCCTCTGTTTCCACACCTAACTTCCACATGTGGATCAGGGTTCTTGATCACACTGAAAAACAGTACATTGAACCCTATATGCCTAGAGGTAGTAAATGCACAAGCTGTGAGCCTAAATCATTTAAACAGCAATGGGCCAACTCACATGAAATGGCATCCTACTGTGGAGTCTTTAATGAGCATTGGTTATGTGATCTTTAAACATTCCCACAGAACCACAGAACAGACCATGGGTTGTTTAAGCCTTACATAACCATGCTTGCCAGGTTGGCATGATACAATTGCCAAGTAGGGAGTTGCATATGAAAAGTGATTAATGGGATTAATTAACCCAAGACAAGTCATCTGAACCAGGGCAATGTAACTGAGCTAGTTTAAGGAAGAGGCCCTATGGACCTTACAAATATCAACAGCAAAAATAGCAAAAGATAATTCAGCATAGCTAAAGGGCCACAAATAGGTTCTACATGACTGACAGAAAATTGGGCCTGCTGGGTAACAGGATTATTTCAATTTTGCTAAAGAGAGAGGTCTATGGGAAATGCTTGCTATTGAATTCACCTGTTTTGAAGACATATTGTCAATTGGAGGATATAAAGGCAGGAAATGCAAACTTGTGATAATAAGGGGAAAAAATCACCAGTGCATTCTAATTTTCCTATATGTACATACAGATCCAATCAGTTTAATATGGAAGCTTAGGACACAATCCTTTAAGTCTTTCCTCTGCATTGAGCTAGCACAGATTTTGAACATCTGCCAAAGAAACCAGAGTGTCACCAGAAATTTATTTGCATAAATCAGATATTTATGCAAATATTTATGTTCTGCTTTATGAGCTGCACATGTTCTTGCAGGAACTGAGTTCTTAAACAGTTGCAGAGCAAGTTCAATGCAAAATACACAATTTCTGACATTTTAAAATTCTAAAGAAACAAGGTTGAAATCAATTAATACTAACCTTGTGTAAAGGCTTTAATGCTTCCATTTCCTAGGCCAGTATTAATGAGAAGTCCATGCCTTGGTCCATCTGTGAGTCTGTATTTTAGCAGTTTGTGTGGACTGTCTCTGTCTTCAGCCTTCAGAGACTTGCTAGTAATTAAGAAACCTAGGTGCCCGGTGGGGATATTTTTTAGGGTTGGAGCACCCTTATTCACGACTATCTGTGGCACACCATTGTCCAGAGAATTGATATGAATCTTCATCATTTGTGGATGATGTGTTTCAAGCATGGTATCAGGAAAAACAAAAAAGTCCAAGTGGATTCCATCAGTAACTGTGAAAGAGAAGCTATCATGGCTAGTTTCTGTGCCATCGTGTCTATAGTTGATCATGTTCTCATTTAAATCTTGTTTGGTGAAGCTGGTCACAGAGTAGCTGTTGTTGTAAATAATCTGACCATGGACAGGGACTTGAGTAATTATGAAGCGGAGTAGATGGTCAGGTGTGTCCCGATCATCTACATTTAGCTCAAACGGGGTGATCAGTTTGGTTTCTCCTTCGAGAACTGTCAGGTCATGGATGGTTAAAACTGGTTTTTTATTGTCCACATCAGTTATGGTAATTCTGAAAGTGCGGAAAACTGGATTATAGCCATCTGTCACTTCAAACTCAAAGCTATCCATCTTCACTTCATCCTCTGCAGTGTGGATGTAATAAATCTTGTTTCCAGCTAGCTGGAGCTGTGTGAAGGTAGTGACTGGAAGTCCAGGGTTATCAGAGTTTTCCAAATGACCTCTGCTTGGGGCCCGGGTGATACTGAATCGGAGATGCTCATCAGGACTGTTAATGTCACTTGTACTGAGGAGGTCAGTAGTGAGTGTCACTTTTCCACCTTCTTTCAGAGTCACTCCTTTATTGATCACTTCAGGAAAGACCATGTCCACACCACTGATGGTAATATAAAAATATCTATCAATCAAAGGATTTATGCCATCTGTGACATCAAACTTAACTAAGTCACGGACACCCTGTTGGCCAGTGTGAATATAGCGTATGCAACCCTGGTCTATATCATCTTGCGTGAAATTCATGCCCAGAGTAATGTTGCCTAGCACCTCTCCCTCTTTACTCATGCGCTGTAGAAGACCATGCCTGGGTAACAGACGGATAATGTAAGTGAGGGTTTTGTCTTCTGAATCGATATCAGTGGCCTTGAGGTCCTGATTGGTAATAATTTTGGAATCACCGATCTCCACTTCTAATCCATCGTTGATAGACATTCTAGGTGTTTCATCATCCACCAATATGACCATAATTAACACTTCTTGCTCCACTGTGTGCAGGCCATCAGTCAATTGAATTTTGAAAGTGTCCTCTTTTGTCTCTGAGTCATCATGCTCATACACAATACTAGATGCCTCCCGGATTTCTTCCAGAGTAAAATTGTGTATGGACACACTGCCAGTGGCCAGCTGGTTAACAATCTGCCCATGCTTAGGAGGAACAGTTATGAAGAAGCGCAACTCATCCGGGGGAATATCAGCATCAGCACCATTAAGAATAGGAGTGTCAATCACCAGGCTCATCCCTTCCAGTACCACAAACTCTCGCACAAACAGTTCAGGTTTCTCATCATTGGTTGGGATAATGACAATAGGAAAGAAATGGTGTGGGGAGAAGTTTATACCATCAGAACAGTGGAACGTAAATCTGTCTTCCAAAGGTTCTACCCCCTTATGGATGCTCTGCACATAGTTGATATGTCCAAGGCGAACATCCTTGATGGAGAATGCACTGATGGCAGTACCAGCCCTGGATTTTTCAGATCCAGGAGCTGGAGAGATATTCTCCAGGTATCCAGAAGTGGACTGTATTAGGATGGTACATAGGATGTCATCCTTGGGAGTATCTACATCTTCCACATCCAGCAGTTGTAAGCTTAGCACATTTTTCCCTCCCTCATAAACTGTGAATGGCTCTTCCCCCACCAAAACCTCAGGAGCAATGTTGTCCATGGGCAAAATAGTCACAGTCACACGCACCCCTTCTACTGTGCTGCCTCCCACCACCCACTCACTGGAGAGGTCTGAAATAGTAAGGTTGAAAGAATCAGACAGCTTTTTCAAACCAATTTCTCCACCCACATGAGCATAGACTACTGCTCCATTAATGAGGTCCTGCTGGGTAAATCTCTTAGAGGGCACTCCATCCACTAATATTTCACCCAGCTTGGGGGGATCCTCCACAATAAAAGTCAATGCCAGCTCATCAGTATCCTCATCTGTCCCCTGGATAAGAGAAGTAGTTATTTCAGTGACACTATTTTCCAGCACATCAATAAAGGCTCCCAAAAGTCCATTACTACCAGGGAGAGTGATGCTGGGGCGCTCATCATCCACAGGCTGAACTGCAATTCTAACAATGATTGGCACTTGATGAACTCCATCACTTACTTCCAACTGGAAGGAATCACTTGTGTACTCATCACCGCTATGTCTGTAGGAGATGCGACCATTAGCAATGTCATCTAACAGAAAAGATTCACCCTGTATCATCAAGCCTTCCTCCAGGTAGCGCAGGTGGCCATGCTGAGGTGCCTCACTTAAGGTGAAGACAATTCGGTCAGGGTCTGTATCCTTATCAGTGGCATCCAGCTGAGCGCTGGTGAGGAGGAAGCTGCCCCCCTCAAACACAGTGAAACCGGCATTGGTGATCTGCGGGGGCTTATTATCCACTGGTTGCAGGAAGAGGGTGAAGGTGCCTAGCACAAAATTACCCACTGTGTCTTCAACTCTGTAGGTGAATTGCACCACTCTAGGGGTGATGCCAAGCTCTTGGTCTGGTGGCTTATAGGCTACTTTGTGATGATTTATTTGCGCTTGGGTGAAGTGTGTAATGGACACCAAAGGGTCATCAGTCAAGACAATCTCTCCAGCCAACACAGGGTGGTTTTCATCAGTGTCAGTTGGTGGTATAAGCACCGTGTATTTCAGCTCCCTGTCATCAGTGTCCAAATCAGTGTAGCGCAGATAGCGTTTTTTGAAGTGGGTGACCTGATATTCAAGGACAGTCATTTGCAAAGTGGTACCTGTGTACAGTTCAGGTGGCAGGTTATCCACTGGTTGGATCTTAATGATGAACACCTGCTCTCCTGATTGATTTGGTGGGTCGTTATCATCCTGGAGGTAGAATACAAACTGATCCATCACTAGAGTGGTGCTGTGGGGCCCTGTGTGCCTGTAGAACAATTTCCCATCCAAGATATCCTGTTGCAGCCATTCAGTCACCTCCTTTTCATACACACCTTCACTCTCCACAAAGTGCCAGGAAGATGTAGCACTCTGATCCCCTTCCACATCCTCCTTCTTTTCATAAGACGAAGGAATCTCTGGCTGACGCAACAGAAGCCTACCAAGCTGGTGAGGAGTGGATGTACCTGGAGACCCTTCAGCCACCTTGAGTACAAATCGAATGGTTGAGTCATCAGAGTCAACATCGGTAGCACTGAGGACAAAGGGAGGGATCTGCACCACCTGGTGCTCACTGAGGAGCAAGCCAGTGTTGGCATTGAGGAGGGGTGGCTGGTCATCATCAGGGGCAATAGTGATTGGGTAAAGAAACTCCACTTGGTGTTGCCCATCCCCCATGCGAAAGACAATGTTATCACTGTAACTGTGCTCACTGCCATCGTGCTGATAGACGACCTGTCCAGCCTCCAACTCAGCTGCAGTAAAAAATTGGCGACCAGGTGATGCACCCAAAACCCTGAGTTCACCATGTTTTAGTCCTCTTGTAACCCAAACCTTCACTTCATCCAGGTTGTCCTCATCACTGATTTCAAGATTTACAGAGAGAGACCGTGATTGACCTTCAAAAAGCATCATCTGTGGCCCGGCTACTCGATCAAAGACAGCCACCGGGGCCAATGTGTTCATAGGCTTCACCACCACCACAAAGGCAAAAGGCTCTGATAAGGCACCCTCAGGGTCCAGCACCTCCATCTCGAGTTGGAAGAGCCGCTCATGGTCAGAGTCCACTGTGGGAGGTTGGTAGGCAATCTTCAGCTCTCTCACCTCTTGCTGAGTGAAGGAAGTGAGTGGCCTGCTGGGGTCATCAGTGCTTATCAAGTAACCATGAAAACGGGGATCATCCCCCACTGCCTTCTCCCGCCCACCCATGCTGGGCCAGGGCGAGGTGAGATTGAACAGCAGCAGGTCCGAAGGACTCTCCAGGTCCTCTGCAGCCAACATGTCTGGTGTGATGGCAGTCAGCACAAACTGGTCAACCTCCATCATGAGCAACGCCACAAAACTGGGCTTGGGTGGAGTATTCTCCGCTCCTTGCCGGATGCGAACCATCACCTGGAAATACTCCTGCTCACTGTGGCTCTCGGGGGAACCGTCCTCCGTCAGCACCTCCACCCGCATGGGGATGTAGTCGCGGTTGGGCGAGGGCGTGCTGGCCGTGTGCTCATAGCGGATGCCGTCGTCCAGGAAACGGCTGCACTCGTTGCTGTAGCCCGGCGGCACGGGGCGCCCGTGGGAGTCCACGAGGCGCCCGTAGGCGGGCAGGTGGTTGCCGCTGCCCGGAGGATGGGGCAGGGCGGTGAGGCGGCAGCGCCGGGGGTGGCCCTGCCCCGCCGCCTCGGCGAAGGCCAGCACTTTGGCGTCCAGGGGCGCGCTGAGGCCGCGCAGCTTCTCCACGGCGAGGGGCAGGTTGCGGCTGAGCAGGCGCAGCTGCTGCGAGAGCACCTCGGCCTCCAGCGCGAAGGGCACGATGAGCGTGCGGCCGGGCGCGTCGTAGCGCAGCTGGAGGCTGAGGCGGTCGCGGCCGGGGCTGCGCGCGCCGTAGTGCGTGTAGGTCACCTCGCCGGGGCCGAAGTCGCAGGGGAAGCGCTTCGGGGAGAGCGCGCCGGGGCGGTGGGGCGCCGGGGGCGGCCCGCGCTCCAGCACGGTCAGGACGCACCTATCGCCCGGCCGCACGCGCACCACCAAGTCCCGGGCCGGGTCGAGCGACACGGAGCGGCCGAAGGGCACGCGCAGCCCGCGGTTGGCCACCAGGATCTCCGCTGCGCCGCCGTCGAGCGCGCCCGCGTCGGGCTCCGCCGGCGAGAGCAGGAGCGACGGCTCGGCCGGGTCCGGCGGCTGCTGCTGGCTGTTCCCGGGCGCCGCCAGGCTGCAGAGGAGGAGCAGCGCGCCGCCTATCAGCGCCCGGCAGCGGCGGAGCTGTCTCGCCGCTTCGGCCATGCCGCCGCCGCTGTTGCCGCCGCCGCCGCCGGTGGTTCCTCTCGCCCCGCGCAGTGCGGCCGGGCTCCCCGACTTTCGGCGGGCTTTGGGACCCGGGAAGTGGCGTCGCCGGCGAGGGTGCTCGACCCGGGCTCTTGTGCTGCCTCGGAGCGGGGCTCTTTGGGCTCGGCCGCTGCCTGCCGCAGGTACTAAAGGAGGGCGAGGGGGTGGGAGCTGGCAGCTCCTCGCGCCGCCCAGGAACACCCTCGCCCCCCTCCACGGCCCACCCAGGAACCGAGGACCTTCCCTGCTGCAGCCTCAAGCACCGAGCCAAGCTTCCCTCGGCGCCTGAGCCCGCAAGGAGGGAGAGGCACTCTTCTTCGGCTCCGATGGCTGCCGAGCTCTCTCGCCGTGGACCAGACAAACACGCTCTTTGCTCCCGGGGCCCCTTCTGGCGACGTGCAGATCCATTCCTGCCAGGGGTGGACCTCAGTTTTCGTTGCGAATCTCCCGGCTGCTTATTTCACTTTGCTAGGGGCGCGTAGTGCAAGCGCTAGCAGGTTTTCAGCGGCTCTGTGTTGGACCCACAGGTAAGATAGGAAAGGTGATAGTATTATTATATCTGGGCGGCTTCCTGCTTAAAAAGTAGTTTATGTAAAAGAGAGCGACCTGCCGCATGCGCCCAGATTCTTTGTTAAAACAAACAAGCAAACATTTCCCAAAGGAGTAGCTTTAGTCGTCAGCAGCAGCAGCAAAAAGTCAAAGAGCATCGCATGGTACCTGAGAAAACCAGAACGTGACGCTTAGGGCAGAACTTCGCCCTCGGTTGCCCAACAGATGTTGAACTGCATCTCATTAACCCCAGTCGGCGCGATCTTGCTCAGAAATGTTGCGAGTTGTGCCCGGAACATCTGGAGTGTGCTAGGCTTGGCAAGAATGTCTTCAGGTGGCACAGTGCTTTTGGCCAAGATAAATTAATTCATTTTCTTTCCAGCGCTTCTGCTGACTTCACATCTGCGCATTTAATCATTTAGAGACTCTGTGGCTTGGATCTAGACTTAGGGTCCTAGCATAAGGACATGCAATGCTAAGCATGTGTAGGTCTGGTCTGCAACATTCTGCTGAGCCTCTCACAGATGCTACTAGTGACATGTCAAAGGTTAGAAGGGCAGCTGGGGGCAGTTCTCAGGGACTACTAGTCTGCATGTAGCGTTCAAAAATCTAGTTTCTCTAATGGCACAATTCTGTGATTACGCATTAAAGTAAATATATGTTATTATGCATTACTAACTTTGTCTTTTACTCTAGTTGCCAGAGTGGGGGGGCATTGGGGGAAAGTCCTATTCTTAAGAGGTTACAGAGAAGGAATAAATGGGGAGGGGAGAAAGAAGCTGTATGAAAAGAAAAAGATCTGGATTGGTTATGGGAATGGGGGACAGACACGCAGACACTAGTACTAAGCCTTTTGCTGTCTTCCAAAGACAATTGCTTCTATCTAAACACAAGCATGCATGCTCATTCTGGTTTGCAAACCTTAGCAGGCACTGTTTCCATGCTATGCTGCTTTTTTCCATGATCTATGCTTTTTTTTTCCATATTAGAAACCAAGGAAAGATGTAAGGTGGGATAGGCAGCATGGTGCGTACAAGTACCTGTGTGATCTTGGATGCTTTTCTTGGCACCCACCAAGGTCTGTACTCCTCCTCATTTTCATTTTTTAAAGAATAGCATTTCCTAGTGGCAGCCAGGATTGCTACAAACAAAATGAGAATGTCTAGCTGTTCCCATCTTCTATTCCCATGAATGCCTTTGGGCCCGGGATAAATTTTTAGAAAATGAAAAATGGCAGGTGGCTGCAAGCCAGTACTTTCATCTGCAAAATGCCCATTTTTAGTAGTTCCCAGGACTACTAGTTTTTCAAATTGCCAAAATTTCAATAGGCTCCAAAAGGTAGCTACAGACATACCCTGCAATCCCACATGCCCTGTCTGTGTGCCTGCATTGGTAGGCATGGACACTGGGGGAATGCAGTTGCTAAATGTGTTTGTGTATGAGATGGTGGCTCAGTGGTAGTGCACCTGTTTCAGAGGCAGAAGATACTAGGTTTAGTTTCCAGGTAGGGCAGTTAAAACTCCTGCTTGACACCCTTGAGAGCTACTGCCTGTCAGGCCTACATTGATTGATGGTCTGACTTAGTAGGAAGCAGGGTTTGAGTCTTGTGTCTCCCATTCTTATGTTCTCTGAATTTGGGCATCTGAATCTCCCCAGGTTTAATTTTCCCTTATTTTATTATTTTATTTTATTTCTGAGCCTAGGAACCACACGGCCACAATCCATGTGGCGACAAGCTTTATGTACAATCTGCTCCTCTAACTTCTTCCACCAGCTGCTCAACATCTGCAGCTGGCCTCCTTTCATACCAGGTCTTCCACAGCCTCCACAGCTCCTCACTTTTCCCTATGCTTCAGTTCACTGGACTTGAAAAGCTCGGCATTCCCAGGGCTCCCAAACACCTGTGTTTTATGTTGCTGCCATGGTCATCTTCTCCTAACAATCTGGTTTCCAGTTTTGTGGCAAGGAAGAGGAGAAGAACAAGGGGTACGAGCGTATATCATTGGGACAATATCTTAATTTGGCTTCATATGAGAGTACTTCCTATACTTTCATACAGTCCTATACCTCAGGAGTGAGGAATGCATGTCTTCCACATGTTTAATTGCAATTTCCATTAGTCTTAGCCAGTGGCACTGGGAGGATAATGACAACTGAATTCCCAAAATATTTGGAAGGACAAATGTTCTCCAGTCATATTAAAGGTATGTCACTGCGTTCACTGGGGATCGCTCCCATGTATGTGTCCATAAGAGCACAGCCTTAGCATTGCCAACTGTATCAAGAAGCTGAGCAGGCAAACAAGTTCTGATATGGAGGCAACCTCACTTTATCTAGAGCAATGTCCTAATCCCATGTGCGATGGAATCAAGTATAAGCGTTGGTTTCTTTGAAGACTTGCTGTTACTTCAACATGCAGGTGAAAACAGGAATGGTGGCAGAAGGGAAAGCAGACCAATCTAGTTCTGATTATTTCCAAGTTGCAGTCCTACACATGCTTACAAAAGACTAAGCTCAGAGGTCCCGTTGGTACCCAACTGCATTAGTCTGCTATTAGAGGGTCCTACAGTAACATGTTGCCGTGTATTCCTGTTACACATGGGCTACCTCTGCCTGTGCTTGAGAGGGATGAAAAGACAAAAACTTGCATCAAAGGCAAAAACCCCTGTTCTAACTTAGGTCTTACTTTATGGGCAACATTAATTTATTTATTAGCTTTTCAGTGATTAGAAGTATGGCATGTAAGTCAAAGTAGCCCAAGGCTTTTGCATGCAACAGAGTGCTTCATTTGGCCTTGGAGGAGATACGGAGCTGAACTGTGAGTAATCCTACGTCTGGCCTATAGTATTACCAATGGACTACACTCGTATATTGCAGGACTGTTGAAAGCTACTCATGTCCAGCACCTTAGCCTGTAATGGCAGTGAAACAAGCAGTCTTGTATACTCCTAGACCCATGGGCGATCCAGGGATAAATATAATGGATTACAATTTAGACTTGTATCAAGCTGCTCTTTTAGCTTTGGTCAAGCTACAGTAGTCGCTAATACCTTTGGATAACATTGAGGGTTCTGACCAATTACTCTGAGCCAGGCTTGATACTTAGTGTGGGCTATGCTTGCAGAAGTCTCATAAGTCATCTCTCCCAGCCATAGCAGCTTTCAGCCAGCAGCATGGTCTCTCCAGATAACAAGCAGATTCTCTCTACCCTTTTTATGACTGTATCTCTTCTTCCTTTTCCAGCTGTTACAGTCCATTTCCCACCCCTTCTCAGAAACACGTGCACACACACAAGTCAATCAGCACTCTATTTTTTCCAGGTTTTTCCAGTCTGCTAATACTTCTTTCTTGTGCATGGCTATTGCACATATGTGGATACTCTCCTCTGAACATCAGAAATAGAATGTAAGACGATTCCAGAAGCAAAATTAATGGTCAGCCTTTTGCAAAGTTAGGCTTCCCTATCTCTGCATAAGTTTCCAGTTTTGCAATACCAGCTTAACATATTTACTAAGTAGTAAGCCCCACTGAGGTCAATGAGTTTACTCTCAAGTAAGTGTGTATGGCATTTAATATATATTCACATGGCTTTCCTTAGCTGATAATTTGGCAGCCTTAACCTTTTGATGAGATTCGTTTTTGAGATCCATGTTGCAATCATAGCATTCTATATAGTACAGGGATATGTCTATATTTCAGTCATCTACCTGATTTAAAATGGTGATAGCAAATACATTATAAAATGTTTTTCAATTTTGACTGTAACTGCTTTTGGTGTGTGTCTTATTCCAGTTAGTTGGGTTTTTTTAAGCATTTGTAAGACATCTTGATTTTAATAATATTAAATTGGTAAGTTAATAAAACATTTGCCAGTAGCAGACATAATATTACAGCTTCCTCAGAAGAGTCAGGCATCGCAGTGCTTAAAATAGTTTTTGCCTTTCCAGCTGAACATGAAAACTGTCCCTTATTGGCCATTCTTTCCAGTTCTGTGCAGTTGATTCCTATCACCTTGGTAAATATTTCTTTGACTGTGAAAACATTGCTGTACACAAATTAACCTTTAGGTGGTGAGTAAGCAGAGTAGTCTTCTGTGGTGGCTCTTTGATGTATTTGGGGATTGATATTTCAGAGTAGATTACCATGGTAATTACTAACTGCAGGCCATGTGAACAGAAAGGTCTTTCACAAAACCTGATTTATGGTAATGCACCATCCCGTCACACTATGATCCTTTATTCACAGTCACATCAAGAACAGACATCAAGTCGACAGATGGAAAGGACCATGAATGTATTGAGTTATTTACTGCACAGGCAGATATCTGATTCTTCATTTAACTTTGACAAATTGTGGGAAGATTCTTCAGAGACTGAAGCTATTTCATAGAGCTTAAGAAAATACTAATTATACGATGAAATAGCAGACAGGAGTCCCAGTTTTAGAACTTCACATGATTTTTAAACGTAATTTAGCTACATTTGAATGGCCTGATGGGAAATACATACAAATAGTCAGATATTTAATTTAGTGCAATCTTTCATTTCAGTGCTAAATTGGCTGTCATAAGCACAAATGCAATGTTAAATTCTTA